GTGTGGTGTGTGTGTTTGTTGTTATTATATATATATATTTTTTTTTGAGATGGAGTCTTGCCCTCTCCACCGAGTCTGGAGTGCAATGGTCCAATCTAGGCTCACTGCAACCTACGCCTCCGTGGTCAAGCCATTCCCAGCCTCAACCTCCTGGATAGCTGGATTACAGGCTTGTGCCACGCATCTGGGCTAATTTTTGTATTTTAGTAGAGATGGGGTTTCACTGTGTTGGCCAGGCTGGTCTTGAACTCCTTACCTAAAGTGATCTGCCCATCTCTGCTCCCGTAGTGCTGGTTTTACAGGAGTGGAGCACCGCACCGGCCACTGACTTATATTATAACGGATAATCATACAACAGATGACATTTTTGATCAATGAATTATTTTCTCTTCTTAGCATAATTACATTCATTGAATTAGGGGTTTTAGGGCAAGAAAAGTTACAGAATTCCAATGACCTAGATATGTGAAGAGCTGTTTGTTAATGAAGATTGAAGAAAACTGCAGACCTATTTAATGTACTCTCCATGAGTACAGATCTTCTAGTCCTGGTTGATTAGTGAGCTTCCTGGTTGAGAGATGAAGACGCTTATTTTACCATTCAACTCATGTCTTCTTTTCCTTTCTGTTCCATCCCATTAGAAATCAGAGCCCTGCCTTTTCTTCTCAGAGCAACTCTATAGTGGGAGATAGTAGTTTTTGGGGGATTTTAAAAATTTGACTGGAAGGAATGTAAAAACTACAGGGAAACATAGAGATTTCTCATTGATCACATCACACAACAAAATAATATTTCTAATTCATGTCTCAAACCAGTTATTAAGACAAGATTTCTATTCTTTATTTAACCAGGAAAATGAACTACGAATATTTCTTAATATCTAAATATCTAAGAATATAATAAGCATTTTTATTTATTTTTAATTTCGATTAGAAAGTAAGATGTTTTTAATGTGTTATGTAAATTTTTTTTTTTTTTTTTGAGACGGAGTCTTGCTCTGTCGCCCAGGCTGGAGTGCAGTGGCCGGATTTCAGCTCACTGCAAGCTCCGCCTCCCGGGTTTAGGCCATTCTCCTTCCTCAGCCTCCCGAGCAGCTGGGACCACAGGTGCCTGCCACCTCGCCTGGCTAGTTTTTTTTGTATTTTTAGTAGAGACGGGGTTTCACCGGGTTAGCCAGGATGGTCTTGATCTCCTGACCTTGTGATCTGCCCGTCTCGGCCTCCCAAAGTGCTAGGATGTAAAATATTTTTAGCATACTATAATTACAGTTTATTGAGGAATTTGTGTATATTGAATATTTGACATATATGTTTAAGCACTATGTCATCATAAGGCTTATACTTGATGTTTCCAAAAAAGGTTTCCACTTCCATGGGATGATTCAGAGATAATTTACTACTTGTAATACTAGAATAGTATTCAGTTTTTCTATGAAATGTGATCATTGTTCAAGAAACCTTATACTACATATAAAAGATTCCAACATATGCACCACACACACACACACACACAATATTGTTTATGATCTCCATTATTCTTTAGTCCACTGGTTTATTGTCTTTCTTTCTTATTTTTTCATTAGAGAGATTCTCAGGCAGTTTCTACAGTCTTGTTATGTGGATTATAAATGCTGAATTCTTGCATCTCTTAAGTACCTTCATTTAAATGATATGTGAGTAACTTCTCTAGGTATAGATTCTTGGCCTACAGTCCATATTTCTCATCACCTTTTTTTTTTTTTTTCTGCCACATTTTTGAAACTTCCAATGTGGAAGTTCAAATATTCATTCAGTTTCATTGCTTATAAATAGCATTTCAATTACTCTGATTTTAGGGTATAAATCCTCAGCTGTGCTGTTTTTGAAGCTGAGCTCGCTTAACCTCTTCCCCCTATTGCAATAGCCAGATAAAATCTGTCTTGTCATATTTAACAAGTGTCAGATGAATAATTTGTCTTTAACACATCTTGCATTCATCAATCTATTTCTTTTTGTTTAATTAGAAAAATTTTTCAAGCGGTTTCTACAGATAAGTTATGCAGATTGTAACTTTGAATCCTTGCATGTTGTAAATATATTTAACAAAGATCTGGGAACAATACCTTGTCTTTGTATAGTTTCTTGGCCTATATCCATATCTCTCATTGTTGATAGATTTTGCCCCCCATTTTTTGAACCTTCCAAAGTTGAGCTTAAAATGCTCATTTAGTTTCATTCCTTCTATGTTACATTATGCTGTTTTCCCCCCACCACTGTTTGGAGATTTGTATTATTTTCTCTTTGAACTTTGCGAATTTCACCATGATACATTATGATACATCAGCATAGGTCATTTAAGACTAATTCCAGGGGGCGGAGCAAGATGGCCGAATAGGAACAGCTCCAGTCTCCAGCTCCCAGTGCGAGCCACACAGAAGACAGGTGATTT